TTTAACAATTAAGAAACACTAAAGTAAACCTCCTCTATATATTTGATCCCAAACGTTATGGTTTTTAGATTGTTGGATGCATTATAATGGACTCAATATACATACATACATACATTCATATATATACATACATACATACATATATATATATATATACATACATACATACATATATATATATATATACATACATACATACATATATATATATATATACATACATACATACATATATATTTATTTTAATCAAATATTTTGAACGCACAAATAAGCACTTTAACAATTAAGAAACACTACATTTTTTCAAGTCTAAGTCTAATTAGTTTAACTAAAATTTTACTTTAAGTCAAATTAGCTTCGATTCCCCGACAACTACACTAACAACTTGATCTCAATAATATGTATGTGCTTCGTGTGTAATTACTTCAATTGATTTCCAAACAACTGTGCCAAAAAATCGACTCACTCTGCCTGTGTGTGCTTGCACCCTTAATTCACGACTGAATGCTATTTAACAAATACTTCTTGTTATTCTCCACAATTCAATTTTACATACTATGGATACTACTCAAGTGCACGTATTGTTCAAGTAATATAGATCTTTCTTTTAAAAATGTTGAGTATCGATTCCACGAGGAAAGATATTAATTTGTAATGATTTTAGTAAAAGTTCAGTCTACAATAACTCATCTTAGCCTAATATTTTTTAAGAGTTTGATTTTCCTAACTTCATTACTTTACTCTAAAATTAAAGTTAACTAAATTAAATAAAAATCTAATCTATGGAGGTTGGTTAAATTTTGGAAAATTCTTATATAATATTCCCTCTTGCAATGAAGACAATGACATAAGCAGCAGAAGAATTTATAGAATTATGTAATAATTTTTGCCAACAAGGAACACATATCTGCCTACACACTTTTGAGTGTATAGATAAGCTTAATATTCTATGAGGTTTACACAAATAGTGGAGATGCAAAAGTGGTTAAAAGCCTGACAACTCATGGTAAGGAACCCATTCACACACATTAATTGTCACCTATAAGCTTTTAATCGAAATAGATCATGAAGTATATTTTCTTTAAAAGTTGCATCGCCGCCTGATTACTTCATCATAACCAACCAGACAGTGTGGGTGCACTCAAGTTGTGAAGTCACTGCTCTTCCGAGTCTTAGTCTCAACTTACAACGAATTTTAACATAACCTATGGTTAGTACGTTATGTCGATGAAGCAACATAGATATTACTTATCACATGGAAATTAAAATTATTCTATCATAAAATAATTTTTTCTATACATGTCACTACTTCATAACAATAGGAAAGAGTAAGAAAACTACTCACCATGCATGGAGAAAACAAATTGATTCTTCATTGCAAATGACATTGAAATCATACAGCTATGTTGTAATAATTCAAGACAAATACAAAATGAGTTCAAGAGTTATCTTTACAGCAGATTCACACACTCCTTGTACAGCAAATAACAATCCTTTACACTTTAAAAAATAAATACAAGAAATAAAGAAATCTCTCAATTATTCCCTTTCTCTCTTCTTTCTAAGTGTCGAGAGTCACTAAGAACTCCAAAATACACTTACCAAACAAAGAGGCCCCAAGCCCCCCTTTGAAAATCCTTCAAAAAGTCTTAAAAAATGTAAAGTTAGTTTTTGGCGCTCCGGTGCCCAACCGTGGTATCTAAGCGCCAGCCTTCTAGAAGCATAAAATAATTGTCTGGCGCGTAGGCGCCATATCAAAATTTTCTTCTTTTCTCTAATTGACTCCAAATTACTCCATTTTCACTCCATTTACTTCAATTGTTTAACCTATTGTACCTGTAATAAAAAAAACACAAAAATATCTTCCTTCAAAGTACAATATCACTAAATATAAGCATCAAACGTATATAGAAAAATAACACAGACACAAATTAAATTTTTCAATGATTTTCTCAACTTAATTTTATTTGAGTATGGGATCAACTTAGACAGTTTATTAAAAGAATCTTATATAGTTTTCTTATAAAAGCTAAAATATATCATGATAAAAAAATTTTAACTTGTAATATCTTAGCTTCATTCTAAAAGTGTTAAATGATTATATAGTCATTGTGATGCTATCAATATTTCTGTCTCAATAAAACTAAGTATTATTCATCCATTGATCTCCAATTTTATTATGCAGTTAAATCTTTGTCATAGTCATAGCGGAATTTTTTTTTTGACACTTACCATAGTAATGAGTACACAATACTAACTTCAATAACAGGAAAACAAGATGTTAAAATATAGCCCTTTTGGCCTGAATCATTTACTCTGCTACATTTTTGATATTTTATAAGAACTAAAGTTATATGTCATCTATAATGTAATAAGTTTCTAAATTATTATCAAGAAGTACTAAATCTATTAAAATAAAACCAGTTCAATATAAATCTGCCTTCCTAATTAACTTATCTATATGAAATACACTAAATAAACTAGTTGGACATAAACATATGATATAAAAAAATAATTTAGTGTTTATCTCCATACAATGATTATTGAGCTATTTAAGTTGCATATCAATGATTGTGTAAAATATTTCATCTTTAAAATGATCAATGAATATGTCATGTCTGTAACTCTACGATGAGAGCATCCACAAGCAACTCATTTATAGCAACTCATTTAGTATTCATAGATTGAATATCTATTTTTTCCTTAATCATAAACTAAAGATATTTTGTTATTAAATTCTCTCGCTTTTTATCTCTAATATATTATAGTCTTATTCTTTGCATTTTAACAAAAGACATATCATTTATAATATATTAATCATTTCTTTGTAATACTTGCAATGGTCTAAGAATAATTCCAAGAGCAACTTTCATTAAATGAAGACTAAAAGTGAACTCAAAATATTTGGATTATTTCTAGTAATATGCATGTCTCTCTTTATGTTCAGAATTTAAATCATCTTCCACAATAATTTTGAATACAAAAACCATTAAGAAAAATATTATGATCAATACCATTATGTATCCCTTACTCATCTATAAGTAATCTATTGATTTAAGGTCTTCTCTAGTTATATATCTCTGAGTTGATTTTAATATTTACATGAGAAACCAACAAGATCTTTAAATCTAAAATAAATTGAATATGATTCTTAGCAATGAATACTAAAGTTAATTGAAGTTGAGGTTAGGAAAAATATAATGAGCAAATTTATTTTTATTAAAAAATAATGCATCCAATCCATTAGTTTTTTTTCCTTCTATCACTAGCCTAATCATAACTTCGACCAAAAGTCTTAAATGCTTGAATCATAAGTTTCTCAATTATTATTTTAAGAGAACTAACTGATATGTAAAAAATACATATAATTTAAAAGATTAGTTCAATAGTTTGACCTTGATCCAGATAGTGCAGCATGATAGTCATTTATTCTTTTGGAGATATATCATGGGCTTTATCATTTCATATAACAAAAAAATAAAAAAAAGTCATATCCCACAATAAAATTCTAAGTAAAAAATTTATTCATTTATTCTTTTGAATAACGTCATAGTAAAAAAATTAAGACATAATATTCTCTATTTTAATTTAAAGATTTTGTTTATGGTCATCTAATCAAAATCAAAAGTCTAAAATTAGACAATATTTGGGCTGACCAATTCTTTACAAACCTTACAGATTCGCCAGTTCAATCCGGTTCAATCTAGGTTTTATGCACGAACAATTCTATGTTTGGACTGAACTGAATGAATAATCAACTCACAGTTGACCCAGCCAAACTGGCCAGTCGGTCTGATTTATAAAATGACAACAATAGGGGGTGTAAATAGCGGGTCTGGCTATGATAGAGCGAAAGCACAATCAAACGAGACCAACAGACATAATTAACAACGGGAAAGATAATTAGCATAATAAAATGATAAAACCATCAAAAAAATTTATTAAATTTATTAATAATACTAAGGTATTCTGAGTGTAAATAACCTACTTTTGGTATTAGATTTGTAAATAAATAAGAATTATGTGATATGTATAAAAATTTCCCTTAAATCTATTTTCAAGTTAATATAGTATTAAATTTTGAAAATATTTACTTACATACTAGGTCGTATTTAGGGTTGTAAACGAGCCGAGTCGAGCTCGAGCCACTCAAGACTTTAACTTGATTAATTAATCTAGTTCGAGATTGAGCACAAGTTTAAGACTACGAGCCGACTTGCTTTTCATTAAAGTGAGAAAAAATTATTAATTTAAGGTAATGTTATGATAACACCAGAAATTAATTAAGCAATTAGAAAACAAAAAGTACGACATCAATTCATATAAAATATAAAATAATATTTTAAAATATTTTTAATAATATAAAAATAAATCCTTCAAATTTAATATATAATGAGTACATTTTCTATTAATATTTTCTTAAAGAGCCGACTCACAAGCTAACGAGTTGAATCGGGTGACTTGAGCATAGCTTATTAGCTGGTCAAACTCAGATCAAAAGCTATTTATTGAACCGAGCTCGAGCTGACTTACAAGCAAACAAAGCTCACGTGCACCCTGATTCATATCTAACATATAAACTTTAAAATTGAGTTAAACGAATACTTGTACTCTAGAATCACATTAAAATAGGTATGAAAAGTCATATTTTAAACCCTAAAGTTTAATAGTACTAATTTTTGTAATGTTAAAGATTTAAGTGTTATATAAAGATTATTAAAATTTAGGTAAATATATAAATGCATAAAAATGTGTAATATATATGTAAACCTCTCAAAATTGAATTATGTTTTAATAATAAACCGATTTTAAAGTAAATTAAATGACTTGAGTCTTGGGCAGCACACAAACCGGCAAGGCCTACAACAAAGAAAATATTATGTCCGGACAACAGACACGATACACCGAAGGAAAAAAAAAATTAGTTGTATTCCGTCCATTATAATGGACTGCTTGCGTCCTTTCTCCTACAACAAGCAATGGTTAGGGCTGCGAGTGAATATTAGAAAGCAAAACATTTCAACTCATAAAATTCACTATACAATTAAATGAGTCATCTTCTAACAATCAAATAGATTGCCAAATTTAGTTCAGAAACAGATTGATTTTTATTTTTTTTCTGCCGGAGCTCTAGTACTCTTTCGCTTCTTCAGCTCCAGTACTCATATTTATTCCAGCATCTGATGGTGGTGCCTTTAGGTTAATCAACTGTTTCAAGGGCTCTCGCATAACTCCATCTCCTGCACACAACCAAAGAATTTAAAAAATAAAATAAAATAAATATATTCACCACATGGAAAATAACCTTCAAAAAAATGTGAGGGATAATATATATATATATATCCAACTTTGAATAAAAACATAAGGCATAAAAGAAATAAAGTTATATAATAATACCTTCCCACAAATAGGGCAACTGTCACTTCTTTCCATCCACTCATATATACAGCTTAGATGAAAATGATGGGAGCATTTTGTCTTGATTTTTGGATTTTCTGGGTTGTATTCTGTAGATGAGATTACACAGCATAATTAGAACCCTCTGCCCCCCCTACTGATTGTTATAATATGCAAAATAGTAATTTTTCATAAAACTAGAGGAATGTTGAGAGAATATCCTTTACAGTTACAATTTAGGAGCATTTACATATTATATACCACTCAATCCTTTTGTATTTACATATCTAACAACCAAACTTCAACTTTTATGTAAATGTCACCTTCCCCGTGCATGAAAAGTTATATTTCACATTTTAAAAGTCAAAATGATGATATTTTTTATGTGATATGAAAGATTTGTCTGGTGTATGTGTAACAACTAAAGTTCGATGTAATAGATATTTAAAGGCATAAGAATTGGGTGATATGTATGTAAAATGTCCATATTAATAAACAAGTAATAATGAATAGATTACCTTCCAGACATGTGGGGCAAACATCTTCATCTTCTAAACTTTTCAGCACATATGCTTTAGCAGACGGATTATTCTCCATTTCAAAATGACCAACTTTGGATTCTTCTTCACCATTTGCATTATTCCGTTTCTTAGCACCGCCCAACTGCTCGCGCCTTGAGATTAAACCATCTCGCTGTGACCGAGAATGTAGACCGTCGCTCTCAAACGTCGGTCTAATGACGAGAGGATGAGTATCGGTCAAAGAGGCATCAGCAGAAGTGGTGATAACTGCAGCTGAAGCCAAAGATGTGGCTGCATTTGAAGCAGAAATTCGCCCATCAACTCTATGAAATGTTGGACCAAACTAGAGCAGAAAATGTAATGTGTGAGCGAAACAAATGTACATCAAAATACAAGTCTGCAAAATAAAAGGATATGTTTGAAGTGCGATTAAAGCTAGCATGAGATGAACATAAATTGAAAGATTAGCTCAAAGCTATGATACCTCTTCATTAGAAATCATAATTCAAAATGAAAGAACAAAAATTTATTAAAAAAGATATGATAGAGGTCAACCAGAAATAAATCAGTGTATTTAGTAAAAATAAATGTTACCCCATAGAACAGTTGGTGCAGAAAATATCTCAGGCAGATGCAATGTCTGTATATAGAATTGCTTGGATGAGTGTATTCTTCAAAGTCCTCCCCACAAGGACAGCAGCAAAAAGCGCCCATTATAAGTCAATCGACAGAAAATGTGCGGTGGATTGATTAGAGAATTTAACGAAAGAAGCCAATGGATTTTATAGCAGCTGAAGAACTTCTAAAATCATAAAAACAAAGGTATGCAGATTTTTAAGAAATCCCAACTTCAAAAAAATAAAATAAAAAAATATCAAAATCATAATTAACGACCACTGCGAAAATCAACTTGTGACCTTAACGATAGAATTGGCGAGATAACGAATCAAGTAAATCTTGTCCGAATGTATGTCACAACTTCATGGACCATCCACTGCCAAAATAGAAATAAAACAATGCTTAATCAAGTGAAATGCTAAATTGTGCATATACTTTGACCGGTCTGACATAAGAGCGTTCAGGATTACAATATCTTAAAACTTTTTTTTAGAGAATGGAAATAGCGTTGAGATGTTAATATAAATTTTCACACCAATCTTGAATGCAAAATCAAAATTTACTATAACATACAAAGAAATAGATGTCCATTAGTCTAAAGTGAAAAATAAGATAGATTATAGTTTGATGATAACACAGGTGGATCTCATCAAACTATAAAAACTCTCTTGTTATCATCTGTGTTATTGTAGATTTTTTCTCATTGCCATAACAGTCATTGTTCATGAGAGTACACTTATTGGATTCAATGGGAAAAGTGAGAACAATGATGTACCAAAATGGGCAATGAGGATCAACTCAATCAATAGCAAGGATATCCAGCCATAACAGTCATTGTTCATGAGAGTACACTTATTACAAATAACCGATATAGCTTTGGATTCAATGGGAAAAGTGAGAACAATGAGGTACCAAAATGGGCAACGAGGATCAACTCAATCAATAGCAAGGATATCCTGTACTAGCAGATATGAATCGAGGATTACCTATACAAGAATAAATTATATCTGTATCTTTTTATCTTAAAGCTAAAATTATGAGCCAAGAAAGCTGCACCAACATAGGCAAGCATTAGATGTTGCACGTCCATCATTAACAAAGGATGCTGCTTTCAACATATTGTATAAGAGGATCATAGCTAAAATGATGATAGCTCAATCAAATACGTATGAGAAGCCTTCGGTAGTAAATTATACAAGCATGAATAAAGAAAAAAAAATTTTTATCACAAAAAAAATTGCAAATGCTTCTATTGTAGTATATATATCAATGAGTTCAATTTGATCATAAATATTTTTGCTAAAGTTTGCATCAACTTCAATAAAAATTCATGTAATGATCTCGCTATTACCACTATTAGAAAACTAGGCAAGACTCTTTGCAGCTACAAACAATTCATATAAGTATATGAAATTGAAGCTCATTAATGTTTATGAACTGATCCTTAAGTGAAGAGAACCAGAGATAAGAATCAGCTGAAATTTCTTCTTTTGTTGCATTAAGCCAAAAGAGCAATGAAAGAAGGGAAATAATAGGCAACGAGGGAAGAATATCTAAACCTTAGCAGAGGAGTCAATAAAAGGTCATGATGGGGAAGTAGACAAGTAAGAATGGCACAGTTAAAATGCTGTCCAATCATCTTAAGGAATTTATGAATGTTTAAAGAAAAGAGCTAGAAAGCACAAACACTCCCAGATGCCTTCCGTGTCCACCATAGAGATGTAACCACTTCAACACATTCCAACATATGTCTAAATTCATAAATTGTGTTATTTTTAATAGTGTTGAATAAGAGCCGAAGCAAGATGGACACGTCGATACATGTGAAGGACAAAAGTAGGACATGTAGTTAGAGGACTCCAAACAGAACCATTTGTGTAAATGAATAATTGACACAGGCGCTAAAACAGCGCCCCCGGACGCTGAATGCACCCCATGGGATCGAAGGCCCCGCAAACTCTCGCGGGAACAGTGGGGCAGGCGAGACTTGTGATCCCTCGGAAAGGCGGGAGGCAAGGATTACGAAATTTCACGATTTGTGGGGATGCAGTGCGATCCAAGGAAGCTTCGCAATATCTTCTAGATTCCTCGTCTTTCCATCCTTTTCCTTTTGTGTAGAAGTTTCCTCTGAGGCTATAAATTGTTATCCTTTATTTGTGGGGAGTCAGATTTGGTTGTGTTTGTTCTCAAATTCTTGTGTAAAATTCTTTCACCTTTGTGGGATGTATCCGAGGATTTGGTGTTTCGACTGTATCATCTTCGAGGTGGTGATTGTATCGTCCTTTTTACCTTCCCCAAATCTTCTCTTGCCCACTCCTCAGTCGCCGAACTCTCCCTACATCATCCCGACACCCAGCCATTCCCCCTTCCTGTAGGTTATCACTATTGTCCCGCCTCCCCAACTCCTTTCATGCTTCTCCCAACAACCATACTACCGTTGTAGACCATCTACAACCCTTCCAACTAGTTGTCTCCTGTGTGTAGGAGGCCGTTCTAGTGGAGTTGTCTTCTAATCTCCTTTGTGGAATCTCTTCCCACTTGTTAGGGTTGTATTCGACGACAGGTGGTGCTTTGGTTGTATCCTGCTCTGAGGTGGTATTGTAAAAGTTCAATCTCCTCGTTTCTTCTCAACAACCTCTTTTACTACCTTTCCCCTAGTTGCCTAACACCCCCATACGCCTCCACCACTCTACCACCACTCATACTTCCCCTACAACCTTGCTTCCCTACCTACCTGCAACCAACCAAACACCATCACAACTACTCAAGCAACCCCCCGACATCTCCCATCTTGTCCTACGACCACGCCGACGGCACCTCCGCCTTCGGACATCTTCCTACATCCTAATTGGGAGATTCGCCCAGTATTGTATTTCCTTTCTATTTGAGCCGTGTTCTAATCCTCTTTCTACATTAATAAAATTTTATTTTTGTGCTCCACTCTTCTTGCTACTAGTTTCAGTATCATTTGGTATCAATGCTAGCTCAACCCTAGTCTCATCCTAGAGTCTCTAGCATCCGCCCCTACCCAAGCCACCTCCATCAAAATTTTTCCTGACGATTCCCAACCCTAGGCATTTCACGGCAAAGAGGTAAACAAGACCTGACCCGGAAAGAGATTCAATGAGAAAGTTGTCATCTGCAATGGAGACTATCAGAGTTGCATGATGAAGTCCCAACCCTAGGCATTTCACGGCAAAGAGGTAAACCAGACCCGACCCGGGAAGAGATTCAATGAGAAATTTGTCATCTACAATGGAGACTATCAGAGTTGCATGATGAATACCAGAAAGAGATTACCTTAGAACGTGATCAAGAAAGTCGAGGGGAAGACAAGGATGAGGAGACTAATCAGTTCCAAAGAGAAGACCACAGTGACGAGGAATATCGACCACACTATTTTGGTATTTAGTATCAAAGGAGGCCGAGAGGAGAGGTTCCTTATAGAGGCCAGCGGAACTTTGGCATCAAGATGGACCTCCCAGAGTTTGAGGCATGGAACCCAATGAGTTTATTGACTGGCTACAATCAGTCGAACAAATCTTCTAGTATAAAGATGTACCAGAGGATAAACTAGTCAAGATAGCTACAATTAAACTAAAGAAAAATGCATCTTTATGGTGGGAAAATCTACAAAGGTGGAGGAGAGAAGGAAGTGAGAAGATAACTAAGTAGGAGAAGATGAAGTAGGCAATGCAGAAGAAATACCTCTCACCGTACTATCACCAAGACATTTTCCTCAAACTCAACAATTTGCAGCAATAAGATCTATCAGTTGAAGAGTTCACAGCCCAGTTCGACAACTTGCAGCTAAAGTACGAGCTGTCAGAGCCAGAACACACGATCGCATGATATCTCGAGAGACTAAAGTTTGTCATTAGTAATGTGGTACAACTACAGTCATACTAGACGTTGGGGGATGTCCAGACACTATCCCTGAAGGTGGAAAGACAACAACAGCAAAACAAGCAATAGTCATGCTTCAGACCACCGACATCAGCCAAGCATTCAGTCAGCAGGGAGGTGTTCCAGATGCCACGGCTAGGGCCACATAGCCTCCAGCTACCCCCACATAGCCTCCAGCTACCCGACGAGTTGAGTCGTCACACTCACCGGTTAAAGTGTCGTCGAGGAAGTCAACGAGGAATTAGAGGAGAGTCTAGATAAAGAACTTCAACTCCATGGAGACGAAAGAGAAGTGTTAGTCGTCTGAAGAATACTGCAGTTCGAGCCCAAGCAGGACCAATCCTGGTTAAGGCATAACATTTTTCACACCAAGTGCACCATCAAGGGGAAGATCTGCAGCTTGATTATCACAATGGCAGCTGCGAGAAAATGGTGTCCACGCTCATGGTAAAAAAGTTAGTATTGGACGCACAGAAACATCCCCAGTCATATTTATCTGACTGAAGAAGGGTAATGAGATACATGTAGATTAGCAGTGCTTAGTTAATTTCTCCATCGGAGACTAGCTACACGAACAGGTATAGTGTGACGTGGATCCCATGGATATCTGTCACATTTTTGTTGGGACAACCGTGACAATTCTACTTGAGGACTTAGCACGATAGATATAGAAATACATTCTTTCATCAAGGATAGGAAGCGCATCATCCTCCTTCCTTCGAAAGGGCACAAGGTCACAAGATCCCTTATCAGCAGAGCAATGGCAAGGAAACTAGAAGTAGTGGCGAAACATAATGAGTGGACCGGAGGAGAGTCTAGATAAAGAACTTCAACTCCATGGAGACGAAAGAGAAGTGTTAGTCGTCTGAAGAATACTGCAGTTCGAGCCCAAGCAGGACCAATCCTGGTTAAGGCATAACATTTTTCACACCAAGTGCACCATCAAGGGGAAGATCTGCAGCTTGATTATCACAATGGCAGCTGCGAGAAAATGGTGTCCACGCTCATGGTAAAAAAGTTAGTATTGGACGCACAGAAACATCCCCAGTCATATTTATCTGACTGAAGAAGGGTAATGAGATACATGTAGATTAGCAGTGCTTAGTTAATTTCTCCATCGGAGACTAGCTACACGAACAGGTATAGTGTGACGTGGATCCCATGGATATCTGTCACATTTTTGTTGGGACAACCGTGACAATTCTACTTGAGGACTTAGCACGATAGATATAGAAACACATTCTTTCATCAAGGATAGGAAGCGCATCATCCTCCTTCCTTCGAAAGGGCACAGGTCAAAAGATCCCTTATCAGCAGAGCAGTGGCAAGGAAACCAGAAGTAGTGGCGAAACATAATGAGTGGACCATGATACCGGCGCCTAACACGGGGTAATAAGAACAAATAAGATTTCAGAACATTGTCATCAATATTGTATCACCCACTCCACCACAAAGCAAGAAGGTTCAAGA